ATCCTTGAAAAAATATAAATATCTTCACTTTTTAATATACTGTATCTACAGTAAATTGTAAGCTATCTGGAAGGTGCCAAAATTAAAGTTTGTGTGTAAAGATGAACATTCTGCAGGAGCTCGATCTATCGAGAAAACAACAAAGCCAGGAAATAGTGAGCTGCCAGATTTTCCTTGTAAAAATTCAATTTGTAAGGGATACCTTGTCATAAAAAATACAGTCATTAAGGTGAAAGCTAGTATCTGGAAGCTGCCAAAATGACATTTTGTGTACTCAATGTCTACAGACAATAAAATGTATTTTCCAGTGAAAGCTGCCCACCTTCATTACAGTCTTGGAGACAGTTCGTTTGAAGGCCTCCTTCCCTGCCCTGTACTCTGCAGAGGAAGGCTGCAGTGTAAACGCCTTGAAAGTTTCACTGCCAGCCATGTTATCCCAGTACAGGGGGAGAGTGAAGAGTGTTGAAAAAAGGACAAAATAAAAGGAAAAATATCAGATACACATAGTAACTTTATTTTGCTTCCAAAACCACATTTGTAATACTACAAAATGCTGTAATGCTGTAGGCAGAGAAGCAGGATTTTATTTGATGAATCTTTCTCAGCAACAGTTCTCACTCCTAACCTGTCACATATTGACATTTGTAATGCTCTGGGAAGCTCCTTAGCGTTGTAGTTCAATGCACTGGGGAAAGCCCTGTAGCGGCGTTTACGAACAGTAAGTGTAGGATATTGAACACAAAAGTCTTAGTAAGGAGGTGGTTGGAGTGGACAAGTCAACAGGTGGGGCTAAAGTTTGAAACTAAATAGGATTGTTTGTGAACAATGAAATCAAAGCAAAACTTTTCTCACTTTTGTCAATAGAGCTCAACCAACACATTCAGTTTTTTAGATTGTAGACAAGTCCTCAAAGTTATAAGTTATTGTTAATAGTACTGTTGCCCATATGGTGCTTCTGTGTCTAACATGCATCTGTTTATTCAGGTCTAGTAATTATATTAGGGGAGCCTACCCACGTGTTGGTGGTAACAGATGTCACGCTGGTAAAAGCAATGTATTTCAGTGGGTTGGTCAAGTGACGGACAACAGAATTAACTTTCATTACACCACCTCACTTGGGCCGATCAACCGCTCGCACGACTTCTCTTACCACTGCTGTGCAGATGACACGCAACTCTTTCCCGCCAGACTACCCCACCCTTGACTAATGCAATGCCCTACTAGTGGGTCTTCCAGTTTGTGCGGTGAAACCCGCAAAAACTGGAAGACCCACAGGCTGATGTGTATCAGCCTTAAAACAGGCTGATACACATTTTCCCATTTCCATCAGTTACACTACACGGATGTGAATTTCGTGTTAGACTCATAACATGTACGTTGTTTTGCATGTTAGAGCTTCCATGATGACAGCATTATGTCTCTCACAAGGACTGCACCCCAGAGCCAAGCACGAACCGTGACAGGCCCGGGGTCGAGGCGAAGCAGAGGAGGGAGGGCTGCCAGGGTCCGAGGACGAAGAGGCAGGACGGGGAAGACGAGGTGCAAGTCAAGGAGCACATCTTCTAGGACCTGCGTCAAGCTTCACACTCCAACAACAGCATATGAACAGGTATATATATATATATATATATATATATATATATATATATACATATATATTTTAATATTAGTCTATTATCTCCCAGTGTGCTTGTCTCAAAGTTTCTCTGGTGTTTACCCCTAAGAGCTTTGACAGTCAAAAATAAAGTGCTTTATAAATGTAATCCATCACTATTGTTATTACTTTTTTATTATCGTTTACTGATTACAACAACTAACTACAGCTCTGCTTCAGCCATTGGCTCATCTGTGTCATGTACATTGACCAGGTGTGTAACGTGGACACAGAAGTCCTGTTACAGAACAACAAACCCCTGTTCAATAAAAATATCTGATCATGTTGATGAATGTTCTGTTGTGGTGGCGGCCCGGCTGACGGTGAGTGTCCTGGTTTTTCCTCCTTTTCTTCCTTTATTTTCCAGCCCCCGGTTATTCCTCGCACTAACCCTGTCTTTCTGTCTGCTTTCCTCCCAGGTTCACTCACCCTCGTCCTCCGTTCAGCCAGCTGGGCTCATCTCCTGGTCCTCTCCTCCTCGGACTTCCCCCACGGCGTCCTCCCAGTTCTCCCTCGCTTCCTCGGCCCCAGTGTTCCCCGGCTCTCTGGTCCCAGTCTCCTCGGTTCCCCATGCCTGTGTTTCCCCGGCATCCACCTCTCCCTCCACTCCAGTCCCTCTAACCATTTTTCCTTCAATAAACCTCCTTCCCTCTGAACATTGCATTTGGGTCCTCTCTGTCTCCACACCACACCACCCATAACAGCGTCAGCTAAATTAATAAAATGTAATGGGTGGGATTTTCAGGGGTGCAAACCTATTGGCTCGGAGAATTGGTTTGGCTCATTGTCAGATGTAGCTCTCCACAAGGAACAGAGACAGTGTGTACCTTTCTTTCCAACACCCTTTCTTGGACTAAAAACAAAAAAAAACTGCAATGATTATTCCTAAATCATTTGAAATTGTTTTGATAGGTGTTTTCTCCAATCTTTTTTTATCCCTCCACAGTCACTTCCCCCAGCCTGTGACTAAACTTCAAACAGTTTCACCTAAACTTCTCCTTCTCTTTGCCCGGGCGTTACAATTTTGGATTTATTTACGTACAGTTTTATTCTTTTTACATGTTTATTTACAGCATTAAACGTTGAAATGTATATTGTAATAGGCTGTATATTAACTTATTGTGAGAAAACCCCCATATCGCCAAAATGGCATGATCCTTGTTTTGTTGCAAAGCATGGAATCTTTGACTATTCGGGGTCAGCCCTAGTTTATTTATCAAGTTTAGCTATCCATTAAAATGATAATCTTGAAGGCGATCGGTCTCTGTTTCCGGTTTACACTTTCTTGTTCAATTTCCATTCTTCAAGTTGGAAAATGGAACACAATGTGCTAAATGTCATTGCACGTCTTCATTCAATGCGACCATAACACAGCATAGTGCTAACATAGTTTAGGCAGCATCGACTCTAGAAAAATTAATTCACACTGTTCAATATACATTTGCATTAGCGCAAGTAGGACAATGAAATTAGGAAATACCCCCTAAACTGTCTGTTTTCATCATACAATGTGAAAAACTGCAGATTTATAAAATAGAATAGATTATAGAATTATACTTCACGCATGGACTCACAGAGCAACATTATCAGCCCATCAGAGTTGTTTTCTGGTTACCTGAGGTTTATTCCAATATTCACTCTTGTTGTAACTCAGGTTAAGTCTCGTTCTCCAGAGAATAACATAATTATCTGTTAAAAGTTAAATGTTCTTCGCCAGCTAGTTAACTTTATCTGTCTGCCACTTTGTGCAGGGTAGGTAGTTTACAGTGGATTCATAAGAGCCAACCCGTTCTCACTCTCAAGCTGTCACATATGGTCAAGACCCCTTGCCGTCAGTTTGTAACACACTGGGAAGCCCTTTAGCATCATAGTTTAACGCACTAGGGGACGCCCTGTAATGTACTTTTTGAACACTAAGTTGTTGAAAAATATTGTGAGCCAGGTTCAGGTGTGAAGAAGTTTCGGAGACTGATAAAGACTTAACATAGCATGGTGTATTGAGCCCGGCTGAGGAGATACAGTGCCAGCATACAACATGTGAACATGTCGAGAGATAACATCTTTGGGTACCTTTTATGTTTCTGTCTTCCCCCTAGTTCCTGTAGGTTTCCCTATTAAGTCATCTTTAACTGGCCTTAACCTAGAACAACAAATCTATCTGATGTTTAGACTCCAGTGCTTTGTCATATTGGAATCTATCACTATCCATGAGTTGTACTCTAATCTGTGGAGCCAGTAAGTTCTTGTAAACATTCTTGTAAGACTCAACCTTGTAAGATTCTAGAGAACACCAACATCTGCTTGCCTGACGCCTGAGCTACTGTCTCTACCTCATCAGTCTAACTGTTGTCTCCCTAACAAGGACAGTTAAGCCTAGTTCACACTACACGGTTTTTAGCCAGAATTGCCGCTCTGTGAGCTCGACAACCGTCAGGCTTTGATCGGGGGTAAATCAGCGATCGATCGGCGGTAGCCAGTCGTTATGTGTGAACTACACAATGACACATCAAAATGGCTCCACGACACATTACTGACACATCGCCGACGTCTGCCAGATATCTAGCATGCTAGATAGGCTACCTGGAAGAGTTGGCTGACTCGACATCCACATCCAGCCAATGAGAGCAGGCAGCTGGCAGAGCAAGCAACTACTTTTTCACTGCAAAACACTTTTTACTAACCTCCAGCAACTTCAGACTCCTGTCACAAGACGGCAAGTAGCGTAGTGTGAACAGCAGGGCCATCAAACGATGCTGAAAGTCGTGTAGTCTACACAAGCCTTAACATGTAAGAAATAACTACAGCTGGAAGGTCAGTGAACACTTATGGGGTCAGCGAATGTCTCAGATAGACCTGTCTTACCTTTCCCTGTTACATCAATTAAGACACCTAAGAAAATTCTTTAACAAAAGTAAAAAACCAAAGTTCAAGTAAGGAGGTGGCTGGAGTGGATGGGTGAGCCCAAAACCAAACTTTCACCCATGAGACTGGTGATTGTTTGCGTGTGAAACAAAAAGTCAAGATTGTTTTGTTATGTTATGTAAGCACTTGTTGAAGAAGTTTATTATTGCTAACTTGACTGAGGAGCCCTATGCATCCAAAAAGAGTGAGAATATGAGCTGACAACGCTTTTTATAATGGCTTCCTGCAGCCTTTACAAACAGCGTTGATTAGGGCAGTGAGACTAAACAAAACAGTAATAGTGCCATAAAACCACAACAATGAGCTAAATGAGGCTAAAAGGCTCAACTGAACTTCCTAGTTAGGTGATAATTTTTTGTGGATATGAGATTTGACTGACTCATTTAATGCTGTTTCATTTCATATGCAAAATATTGATAAATACAGCTTAAACTTTATTAACATGAATCCCAAAACAAAATCAAACAAAATATGCACCATTAGCAGTCTGAAAAGCCAGAAACAGTATATGGTTTAATCTTAACAACAAAAGTTATACCAGAAAGTTATGGGCCAGTTTTAACTTAAACTCATTCACTTGTTACATTACACATTCACTAAAAACTGAACTAAATATTAACTAACTAATTATTTTCAAATTTTACAAATTTCATTTTACAATTTTACAAACTCTCAAACACATTGCTACATACAACTTTAAGTAAACATTCCCATAAATGGGTGCCTTTGCTACATTTCATCCTCTCTCTCTCTCTCTCCCCGCCTTTCTTGTCTTTATCTACCATGTCTATCCAAAATAAAGCAGAAACACCAAAAAAACCCACTCCAAAACATACCTTTAAACAATGAAAAGCTTGACTTTTACTTTATTCTTAAGACCAGTGGGGGAATTACATTTACTTGTTTTTTGTGTTGGTTGCATCTACCTCAATTATAATCACAGGTATAATGCCCAAATCAAAATCAAGAGGCTGAGTTTTTTTATTGTATAAATCGGAATGAAAGAGCAGAGATGAACCTGGAACAGATTGTGGAGGACTTTACGATGCTCAAGACTAGAATGACGTTCATACTAGAGTACAACATCAAACTTACTGAAGGATGTTAGTCACTCTCCAGAGGAGAACATCAACAATGTGGCGTTGTATGTGTGTGTGTGTGCTCTTTATTGTGTTTCCCTCACTTGAAGGTGATGAGGTAGTCTGGATACGCTTGGTTATCATGGAACACAACATACGTGCTGGGGTTAAATATGTTATCCACCACACTGTCGTAGAGGTCATGGGGCCGCTGGTCACTGCGAGGTGGAGGAACCTTCATTTTTCTCTGGCCCTGCGTGTAGACTCCAGTCAGGACTCGAGCCACAAACATTAACTGAGAACCATCAGTAGCTGGCTTGGAGTAAGTAGGGTGGGCTGAGTAGCTGGCGTTTACAGCAAAGTAGGTCCCATGACCGTATGCAGTTGCTGAGAAAAAGAGGAAATAGGAAATTAATATCAGTACAGTTGCTTTCAATCAGGATTCTAGCCAGGGTCCAGAGGTCCAGATCCTATCAATGCGACCACACCCCTTTGACCAAACACTAAAAGTTTGTGAAGCTCTGTAATTAAATGTTCTGTTACAGGTAGAGATGCTTTCCAAAACAGAGGCGGCAATAGAAAGATGTTGAAGAAATTTAAATGCATGCTCAGAGTTGCATTAGTTTGATCCAGGTCCTGCACTGCTGAACCAATGACTCCTTATTTCAGAGCGAAAGATCTTTACCATTTTGTCCAGCGAAACTCCTGTTGAACCCAGTTTTCATGATGGAGTCACAGTTCTCCTGGGTCGTCCCATGGTAGAGAAGCTTTTCACCTGCTCCACCCTCCTGTACGTTCTTATCAGAAATGTTCTTCTTCTGCACTTCATAGGCGCGTCGAAGACGAACATTCTGCAGGCGCTCGATCTATCGAGAAAACAACAAAGCCAGGAAATAGTTAGAATAGTCAGATTCCCTTGTAAAAAGTCAATTTGTAAGGGATACCTTGTCATAAAAAATACAGTCATTAAGGTGAAAGCTATTATCTGGAAGCTGCCAAAATGACATTTTGTGTACTCAATGTCTACAGACAATAAAATGTATTTTCCAGCCCACCTTCATTACAGTCTTGGAGACAGTTCGTTTGAAGGCCTCCTTCACTGTCCGGTACTCTGCAGAGGAAGTCTGCAGCTCAACTTTCTTAAAAGCTTCACTGTCAGCCATGTTATCCCAGTACAGGGGGAGAGTGAAGTCTGAAAAAAAAGAATGGAAACAGATAATCAGAGCAAAAGTGTTTAAAGGTGTTTTATGACATTACAAGTGATCTGTGCATGAATGTGAGTATTTATCCACAGCATTACTTGTGATGTTAGCCGTAGTAGCAGAACATTTGTATCGCTGTCTAGAGATGGTGTGTTGGCTCTGCGACTGTCTCCTCATCTCTGCATGTTACCTTCACAGATCCATGTAGCATCGGTTCGCTAACCCAAAACTCAGCTAACGTTAGTTACATTACTTGCTCTGTCATTTGCTCTAGGAAAGCAAAATCCACGATGAGATCTCATAGTTGTTTCCTTCTTTTCTCCTAGACACAAATGAGCTGCTTTTAATCCCAAGGCCTTTTCTCCCACTTCTCAAATTCACCTCAGGAGCAACAACCATATAAAATCTCATTTAGGTCCGACTCTGATCAAAACAGGAGATCTCTAACGGATCTTAAATAAGTCTCCTTAACATTGGACCATGAGATCAGAGAAAGAGCTCAAAGAAAACTCAGCTATGACACCTAGGATCTCATGATTCTTCTCAAATATGTCAGTTTTCTCATATTGGCCTCAGAAGCAAAAAACTCATTTCTGTCTTACTCTGATCAAAAGATGAGATTTACAGTACCTTAAAGTGTAATTTCAGTCCAAAATGTGGATCAGAAAAAAAGCTCCAAGATATCTTTTGTCTTAGTGACCCCACACTTCTTTTTTTTTTACTAAAGTACTTTACTTACGTCAAATGTTGAGGTTGAGTATTTTCTTTTTATTGGGGTTTGTACTTTTACTCCCCTTAATTTCAAATCCTTATTGTATTTATTGTTAATCTGTTACAAGTTACTGAGAAAAATGTCAAAAATACAGATATAACGTATCTGTCATACAGAATAAGCACTTTTACGTTTGATACTTAAGTACAATCACTATGGAATACTTTTATACCTTTTACTTGATTTGAATTTTGAGGACTTTAATTGTGGATATGGTATTTCTCCTCTTTTAAGTAAAGGAAAATTGTACTCTATTTAAAGACGATCAGTCCTTCACTATTGATTTTAGCTGGATGGTGCAGCGGCTGTGTTGTTGCCCTTTGGACAGCAGGCGCAGGGTTCAAATCCAGCTCAGGGCCTCCAGCATGGTTCTCCAAGCATAGACAGCAATGTAATACAAACCCCAGAGCTCCCAACTGCTTTTCAGGAGCAATAAGCAAGACATTAATGAACTCAAAAAGATACAATGATGAGATCTCATCTGTTACTTTCATTTATCCTATTGTAATCTCAATTCAGTATCCATTTGTCTTACCCAAGTCCCAACACCTCAATCTCTCTTCATCTCATCCATTTCTCCTAAGGGGTTTAGGAGCAACAATTCAGATTGGAGTGATCTCAAAGAGATATACTATTAAGATCTTATTGTTTTCTCAAGAGCTAAAGAAAAGACCATTGTGAGTAAAAGATTTTTCCTCTGGGCTGGATTCTTCCTGAATCACATATCCCATCTTTAACTGCAAAAAAAAGTTGCAAAGCACAACACTGCAGAGGTTAATGTTGTATTGGCTGCATTTGTCTTCATATTTGATGTTATAGCTGTCTCAGTTTAAATACAATACCTGCACAATTTTTGTGCATAAACTTTGTTTATTTTTTTTTTAACTTAATTTGAAGCCAACATGGACAAAAAGTCCTAAACGTGCACAGATTTTCCAGAAGTTCCATGACAACTAGATAAAGTCCATCTGCTGATGATGATCAAGTGTTATGTTTGAAGACTCGAGAGCAGAGCTGAATGGTCCATGTGGTGAAACTGTTTTGTCGACTACTGTGTCCATGGATTAAGTAAAGTTAGGAACACTGTGATCCTAACTTTACACTACAGTGTTATAGCTCTCTGTGTGTGATCCTTTCTGTATCTAACTGCCTAGGCTCAGCAGTAACACGTGTGCGAGTGTGTGTGTAAGCAAGCATGTGAGCTTTGGCAGAGGTAGAGGCGGACACAGCATGAAAAACACCAGCTAACAAAAATGTAGATTTTGTGAAAACTGTGTTACAAAATAGTCCATCACAGTAAGATTGTCCTGTTTCTAGCAGAGAGCACAGCTTATTCCACAAAGTCAGGTTATGGTTGAAATAGTATGATCAGCAGAGGGCATGCAAAGGACACCGAGAGGAGCAGTGCAGTCAAAAAAAACAGACATCAGTGCAGTCAATACCAATCATAGTTAAATAAAAATCCACCAAAAGCTGAAAGATTGGAAAACAGAGAGAAGAGAGACACCCAGGCACAGTGAAATAAAAGTGATAAAAATCCACCAAAAGCTGAAATGATGGAAAGCGGTGGTCTTAGGGCGGCTGAGGCACACAAAAATCTGAGACTTTCCCAGCTCCAGATCAGCAGAAAAGAGAGCCAAGAGAGTATGTGATGCCAAGAAACAGAGCTATAAAAGGAGGTCCAAAAGGAGGTGAAAGTCAGTTGTTACATGGTTTTCATGTCAACTCGGGTCGCTGTTCTGGTAACAGAATGGGACTCTATTTTGCATCGATCTCTGACACACTCCGCTGGAACTTTTGTATTCTAATTGGTGTCTATTTTTGTTGAAATAAAAATGTTGGTAAAAGTTCAAGCTTTCTTATCTGGCCTAATGAATATTTTACACGACAACTTCTCATCTAGAACCAGCTTCTCACCTCTCAGATTCACAAGTCGTTTCAGCTTCGCTTTCAGTCCACTTACTCGGCTTGTTGCCTCCAACTTCTGTGCATTCACACTCCACCGGATGCCCTGTGCGTCCACTATCATTCCTGCTACATCATTTTTTTCCAGGCTGTGATTGGCTGTTTTAGGGAGTCTCTCCCAGGTGCCGTTAGGTCCCAGGATGCACCAAGCCACACGGGTGTACAATTCCTCCTCCTCCCTGACTCTCACCTCTCTTCTGAGGGAGGCATTAATCATGTACACAACCTTGTTGACCCCGTCCTTTAAACCGCTCACTGTTAAGCTGCCCTGGCCGGACTGGTCCTCCTGCATGTACAGACCCTCAGTCTCAACCAGCTGCTTCAGATCCTCCATGTCCTCCTGGGTGAGGCATGCCAGCTCCTCCTTTTTGAAGGATTGAGTGGAGCACTGAGACTGATACAGATTCTTCAGCTTAGTCTTGGCATCATCAACATCCTTTCTGGAGAGACCCAGGAACAGGAAGACAGACTGTTCATTTGAGGAGCTGGTATGGAAGATGTTAAGGTCTGGACTCACAGGTGAAGGGAGCTGGAAATAAGAAAACCGAGGTACTGCAAGGTAGATCAAATCACAACAATCAGTGACAATTCCCACTGAAATAAGAGAATTTTGATATAAATTAAAAAATACAAAAGAAGAAAATTCCTGTCACCTCTATTGATTCCATCAGTGGGAAACATTTGCATTGCTTCCTCTTTAAACTTCAAGAAAACTTTGATCTTAATCAAGACGAGGCGGATGTTGGTGAGACAGTAGAGGAGAGTGGACGACGTGGCGGTCTTGACTCCTCGGAGGATGGCACCTGCTACGACACCAGGGTCCAACCCGCCAATTCCTGCACAAACAGTTTGTATTTTTACAGGCAGATTTAAAACTGACACTCATTTATACTGTATGTGTGTGTTATTATTGAACATCTTGCAAAAATCTTACCAGCACAGATGGCAGGAATGGCCACAGACTTGAATCGAAATGTTTCACAATGTTCAATGATGCGACGCACCAGTTGTTCAATAATACCAGCATCTCTCTGTCCACACACATGTAAAATGGCTTCACAAGGGAATGATCCAGACTGAGATACAAAAACTTCTCCTTGGTTCACTTTTGCTACACAAAACACAACAAAGACAAGACGAGTAAGAAACTGTTAAGTGTGTGTTGCTTGAATATTTCTATCTGGTCCTTTTTTCTCACCTGCTTTTAGTTCAGCCTCCACCTGTGGTCCAGCTACAGTTAAGATGTCTTTGCACACACCATCTGTGGAAAAAAAGGTTATTATTTATTGTAGGTAGGATAAGACAAGACTAAGAGTCTACTGCAGCTCTGTGAGGCTGTACTTAGGCACAGTTGCTTAATGCTAATATCAGCATGCTCTCATTGGCAATGCTATCATCTTGGTATTGCATGTTAGCATACTAACATTGGCTCTTAGCACTTAACACCAAAGTACAGCTACACCAAAGTATTGTATAGAGACTGGAGACTGATGGGAATAGGGCTCTAATAATTGGAGACTTAAGTAATATTGCGATCATTTTGGACAATATTGCGATTTGATTACAATGGAACAAATAGTACTATGAGACTACTTGCTTGATTATCAAGGAAAATGCAGCTAAACTGAGGCTTTTTGAAGACCCATTTCGCTCTCTCTCTCTCTCTCTCTCTCTCTATCTCTCTATCTCTCTCTCTCTCTGCTGCCGACAACATTTATTGACATTATTATTATGTTTATTTACAGCATTAAACGTTGAAATGTATATTGTAATAGGCTGCATATAAACTTATTGGGAGAAAACTGGTAGTTTTATGTAAACTCAGACGTTGAGCACCCCCATATCGCCAAAATGGCATGATCCTTGCTTCAAAGCTTCAACTGACTGAGAACTAACTTGTCAATTATCATATTGTTCATCATTTGAAAGTTTGCTGTAAACATCAAACCTTTTTAATGTCCCGTCCCATCCAGGGTGTGATTGGTCAGTTGACGAAAAGTAAAACTTCAGCGTTAAAACGTTAAATGGCTAGCGAGCCAAACCCAAACTTTACTTATCTTCTCCCAGTTTTTTCTGTCTTACTGCTTCAGCTGCTTCAGCTACATGGTTCAGAGTTTACTTACAAGATGCACATTTTTAATGTCTTCAACAAGTTTGTTTTTTATAAATCACAACCTTTGCTAGGGAAGTGGCATTAGTTGTTGTCACCTATATTGTAGTAATATTTCTTTCTACTTACTGTATTGTCGTCTTCTGTGTTACTTTTTTTGGACCGATCATGTGTTTTGCCTGCAACATCTTAGTTATTAGCTAGTAAACAAAATGACGTCAGGGCCAAAGTCTTTTTTCCGGTTTTATCCTGCATCACAGAGCGTCGGACATTAGGATGTGATTTAAGCTGAGATAGATATCACCCTATCTACTATCCTAAAAATAGGAGAGAATTTTAAGTATCTGAGAAATGAAAAGGCTTTCGACCTAAAAAATAAAACATTTGCCACAAGACTTCAAGTCGTGTACATGCAGAGCTTTTCCTGATCTGAGAACTTTACCATACGGTTTTTGAAATGGCTGTTAGGGAGACTGATGGTTTTGATTTTAGACCACAAAAATCTTTTAGTCTAATTGTGTCAGGTCCTTCAAACAGCGGTAAAACATATTTTGTGAAAATGTTGATTGATTGTTGTATATATTTTTTCTTGTTGGCAACCATTGTATGACCAGTTATTGAAAATTAGAAATGTGAATTTCGTTGAAGGCTTGCCATCTTCTTTATGTGATGATACATTGTTGCATTTAGATAAAAACGATTTGTTGATTATTGATGATTTAATGAATGATGCTAGCAATAACATTGAGGTCCAAAATGTATTTACAAAATATGTGCATCATAGAAATTTAAGTTGTTTATACCTAGTTCAGAATTTGTTTTTTCAAGGCAAAGTTAGCCATACTATTAATTTGAATACCAATTATCTTGTTTTATTTAAAAATCTACCTTAATCTACCTCTTGGTAGCGTTATGTGAAATAGCTTACAATGTTTTAAAAGGTAAAATTCCTTTAAATAAGACACAGTATCAAAAATTAAAAAAGAAGAAGGCGGGGATTAGACTGCTCGGCAATAAAAAGGTTTGCGCTTCAAAGAAAAAGAAGACGTTGCTTAAACAGTCTGGCGGTTTTCTTCTACCCCTCCTGAGTATCGCTGTGCCTTTTATAATGAGTTTTATTACTTCAAGACAAACTTAGATGACTATGGCTCTGCCTATCGAAGCATCAAATCTTCGACTATTCGGGGTCAGCCGTAGTATTTAGTAGCCTACGTATCATCTTGTCACAAGATCTCTGACGTAATTGCTGACGTAATCTGCACTCTGCGCATGCGTTGGCGTCTGTAGCCGCCGTCTTAAACCGAACTCTTATCCAGTTTTAATCCACTCTTTTTCATTAAATTTTTTATATCCTTTTTATTTAACTTAAGTTTTTAACTTAAGTTTTACGTGGGATAAGGATTTTAGCCATCCGATCCATGGATTTTAAGCTAGATGACCGTAAAAACGCGATCAACGCTACTGATTGCAACAAAGCTCCGGTGACTATGCTAGCCGAAATAACTCTGCCCCATGAGGACTGTTCACTCCTTAAGAAAGCGAACAAGAAGATTGCTGACCTTATGGAAGACATCCGACGACTTTCAGAGGAACTCAAAGAGAAAGATTCCCTGCTGACTGGCTTTATGGATGTGACTTCAGTACAAGCCAAACTCAAGTTTGTTTCTCTTAGCGCAACCGCTAACATCCAGGACACCGTGTTTTGGGACCCCTCTGGTCTTCCGAGGCTTTCATCCTGCTCGACTCCAAAGCATCAGTCAACCTGGGCTGAAGTGGTGGTCCGTGGCTGCAAGAGAGGCTCGGATGGGGCTGCCTCTCCTCCGGACATCGGTCTCTCCAACCGCTATCCAGCCTTGTCTAACGACACTCCGGTCCAACCAGCGGATGCACCTCCGGCTTCGAGTCTCCCTGATACGGATCTCTTTTGGCGGACAGTGCCTGCCAACACTGTTGCATCTCCTCCACCAGCTACATCTCCTGCACTGGGCCGCTGCTCTGCCGCTGGGCCTGATCGGCGGCCGTCATCCCGGTCAAAAACCTCCGCTTCCCGACGTAGGATCCTGAAGGAGGCTGTGCTCAGACGCTCCGGAGGCCGTCTCTACCCTGCACCGTCAGGTAGCCCTTCTCTCAGGTCTGTTACTGCTACTCCAACACAACACTCGGCAGCTCACACACTCCATCCTCAGTCCGCACGCAGTGTTGAAGCAGATTCTGCTCAATCCTGCTCTGGAACCCCACAACCGGCATCTCCTCGTCATCTTTTCTCCCCAACCACACTAACAATTGGTGACTCCATAACCAGAAACATCCGTTTCTTTAACGCTACCACTCGCTGCTTCCCCGGTGCCACCACGGCTGTCATTTTAAAAAAACTCCCGTCCTCCATCACAAGAGTGATAGTCCATGTCGGAACAAATGACACAGCTCTTCGGCAGTCTGAGCTGACAAAATCAGATTTTAACCGTCTTTTTAACTTTTTAAAGCAGTGTGGAAAGTCCGTTTTTATCTCTGGTCCTATTCCCACAGTTGGTCGCGGTGCTGGCCGCTTCAGTAGACTCCTTGGCCTCCACAACTGGCTCCAGTCCGCCTGCAGGGCTCACTGTGTGTGTTATGTGGATAATTTTCATATTTTCTGGCAAAGAATGTCTCTTTTTAAGACAGACGGACTTCACCCAAATAAACGGGGCTCAGAAATGTTAGCTGCGCACATACAGCATGTGGTGCGGTCCACACATGACTTACGTGAATGACTAATCATTCATGCAGCACACCTGGACACACCACCGGTCACTGAACAGATCTCTGCCTCACTGCCACAAACAACTGTCTCCACCTGCTGGCATGTAAAGCCGTCTGCTCCCAGCGCTGTTCCACAGACTTCTATTCCTGTCATCATCACGCATAGACCAGTAAACCGAAATGTGAACATCCCACACAGAAATAATAGTAATCTCTTAAGGATTAGGACAACTGCACCAACTCCAGCACCCAGAACAAACCCATTTAAAATGGCTCTCTTCAATGTGAGATCACTTTCAAGTAAGACTTTTATCTTAAATGATTTTATCTTGTCTGCAAATCTAGATTTTATGTTTTTATGAATCCTGGTTGCAAATGAATGACTATAGCCAGCTATCTGAACTGTGTCCACCTCAGTATGATTGTTTTAGTCAACCGAGGGTCAGTGGTCGTGGTAGTGGGCTAGTGAGCGTGTATAGGAAAAATTTAAAATGTCATCAAGTACGCTGTGATGAATTTAACTCCTTTGAAGTTCTCACTCTTAAAGTTGGAGGGCTGCAACCTATCATATTTGTTATAATTTATCGCCCCCCAAAACCGCCTGGAGGATTTTTATCAGAACTTCCTGAATTTTTATCTACTCTGGTTTTAAATTATGACAGAATTGTTCTTTGTGGTGATTTTAATATTCATGATGAT